TGCTTGCAAAGCTATTAGTTAGCTTTCTCCTCTCTCCCCCCTCCCACCACCCTAAAGAGTTCTTGCTCTGTAATTTGGCAGCCAGGCTCCCTCACTGCCTGAAGCATGTACATCCCTGACTGACTCAGATGCTGATGGCAGCAGCTGAAGCCTCTGGAAGTTGGGTGCAGCCGTGATGCTGAGGACACAGGTGAGCTTATCCGCTAAGGGACTAACCTGCTCTTCATAAACACTTCTGGAAAAAAAAACCAATAACACATTTCTCGAACATAGTATTGATGGGAACTCTCATATTGTGAAGACATCCTATAAAAGTTATACTAGCTCAGTACTAGTGATCTGTTTGTTCTGCATTAAGCCCCTCCCAGCCCAGATGCCCCTGGAGGAGTACAAGGTTGACTCTGTGTTTCCTGACGTGCTCAAGTCCAGACATCCACAGAGTGAAGGGAAAGTGCAATGGATGATACCCAGAGAGGCACAGACATCACAGATCTCTGAATGGTGGATGACCACCCGAGCACGGGGGTGGGGGGAGCTCTGGAATGATTGGCTGCCTTGCCCCTCTCTAATCCTACTCCCTGTATAGTCTGTCAGCTGCAGATGAGGTGGAAGATGGATTTTTAGGCTGTTAATCCATTGTTTTCTCAGATTGCCAGCCCTAGGAATGAAGTAGATTCAATTCCCATCTATAAAGTTGATTCAATTCAGCCTGCTCCCACTGACCTCTGTAAGTGACAGGAAGCAAGGCATTCTGGGATCTCACGCCTGTATGAGCTGCACCATTGGGTGAACCTATTCAATGTAGCTTTAAAGTCTGTGATTTGTGATGAGAGTTGGTCTGAAGGCAAGAATGGGGTGTGACATTGGACATGGGATGGTAGGGGCTGCGGGGCAGGACACGAGTGACTTTATCTGTCTGCTGCTACTTTCTTTCCTGCTGTAGACAGTTCTCACCTTCTTCACTCTCATCTGGTCACCATTTTATTCTTTTAATTTATGAATGTTCTCTCTGGCCTGGGGTGTTCCTACAACCACCTTGGTTAGCTGACTTTCAGTCCTCAGCTGGTTACAATGCAGTCTCTACGGCGTCGCTTCAATAAACATGTGAGTGCTCAACATGGCGCCTTTATAAGCCTGGTACCCGGAAATCATGAATTCAGTCCGCAGAGCAGTGACTTCATTAGACACTTCCCTCTACCATTAGTGGTAAGCGGAAGTACGGTGCTGTGATTAAACACGCTTTTCCGCCATGGCAGGCCAGCCGCTGTCTCCTTGCTTGGTATCTTCATCCTCTCTCCTCCCTCCCAACTCGTCTGAAACACGGCCTAGCTGGCTGCAAAGGCGGGAAGCAGGCGGGCCGTCTTAGCGCCGACAAGGCTGCTGGCTCCACTGATTTATCACTAAGGTTTTTCCTGACTCTTTCTTCAGCCTTGGATCATGTCCCAGCTCCAAGCTCCTGGTGACATCTGCTCCCTACAGACTGGTATGAACACATTCCAAGTGCCTTTACCAAAGACTCTCTATCTGTGAGCGTGAGCCCCAGGCTAGTCTCTGCACCCCCTTCTCATAGGCATCATGTCTCCAGCCATCCTGGTGAATTTCTTACCCCCCGGTTAAACTCCTCTCTAGAGAAGCCGTCCATGTGTACTGTTCCTTCAAGAGTCTTATTATGGCGTTGAGCAACACTTGCTAATCCTCTCTCCTCCGCCTAGGCTGGTTTCCAGAAGCGCTGGTTTAATTGAGGAAAGGCTGAGAGCAGCTCAGAGGCCAGCACAGTGTTCGTCAGCTTCCAGTCTGAAATCAGAGAGACTAGGAGGGAGGAGTTTGGAAAACAATCCTCGCCAGACAAATACCAGTGAATCTTGATAGCTCTGAAGCCACTGACTTTGAGAAAGTGAAACTTGAATCTAGAGTTTTCTGGTTTGAATGGGTCTCTGAAGCCTTGTCATCCAATCCTTTTATTTTATAAATGGGCCAAGTCTGAGTTAAAGAGACAGAAGAGGCTGCTCAAGTGACTAATCAGGGACTGTAGGGAAAGCCTGGGACTCTTCTGGTCCCTAGTGGCTTTACTGTAGACATAGTTCATCATTACTTCTTTTGTAAATGCAGCTAAGAAGTTTTGACATTTAAATTGATTTTATTTACTTATTTGTTTTGGTGTGTGTACACGTGTGTGTGTGTTTGTGTGTGTATGTGTGTGTGTGTGTGTGTGTGTGATGAGTATGCTATGGTGCATATGTAGAAATCAAAGGACATTTCGTGGGAGTCAGTTCTTTCCTTCTACCAAGTGGGTCTCCCGGTCGTCATGCTTGTAGGCAAGCATCTTTATTTACTGAACCATCTCACTGCCTTAAGAATGGTTCTGATGGTGGTGTCAATGCTGACCTATGTACAAATTAAAAACGATTAAAAAATTTGTTTTATGTGTATGAGCATTTTGTCTGTACTTGTGTGTACCACCTGTGTGCTGTGCCTATGGAGGCCAGAAGAGGGTGTCAGATTTCCTGGAACTGGAGTTACAGATTGTGAGCTGCCATTCTGGTATGGTGAATATAACTGGAGTCCTCTCCAAGAGCAGCCAGTGCTATTTGGTTTTATTTTTTAATTAAATTTTTTTTTTCATTTTACACATGAACCACAGTTCCCCCTCCTTCCACTCCCCCCATCCACTCCTCAGAGAGGGTAAGGCCTCCCATGGGGAATCAACAAAGTCTGCAGCCGGTGCTCTTAACTTCTGAGCCATTGCTCCAACATCAACTTCATACAACTTTTAAAGATGTTGGTATACAGGATTTAGGGAAATATCAATCATAATTCTTTTGCTTACAGGAGTCAAAAGTACAACTTGTTAGAAGGAGAACTTCTGGTTGTGTGATCTCAGAAAAGTTGGCTAACTGGACCACACGCATCCGGAGCAGAGCAAAAATGCTCAGACTCCGCTCCCTCTCTGCCTCCCTCCTCCTCTTCTTCTCTTTTCCTCCCCTCTTCTTTTCCACTTCATTTGAGACAGGATCTTGCTATATGGCCCAGGTTAGACTTGGTCCTGTGATCCTCCTGCCTCAGCTTCCTCAGGACCACAGATGTGCACCGCTCCTGTGGCTGGTGTTTTTTTTTTTTTTTGACAAGAGTGACCAAATATTTTCATTCAGAAGCTTACCCTTCTGCTTTCCACGTCCCTGGTGGCACTGGTTTATGTCTTGCAGTTCCTCCAGTGACAAGGTATTCATTTCATACTCCATGTTCTCAATCCCTGGGAGTTTTCTGGTTGCCTAGATAGGATGGGAGGAGTCAGGTGGCCTCCTCTGAGCCAATCCGTTTCAGTCTGGAGGATGGGATATTATCATTGGCCTTTTTTGATTCTGGGACCCAGTCTAGGACTAGCCGATCACCAGAGGTAAGCACAAAAGCTTAGCCACCTTCACATAGATTCCATGGTTAGAGTTCGTATGTGAAGAGGAGGAGTAATATGCTTACCGAACATGGGTGGATGGGGAAAGTGATGGAACACTGCCAGTGAGTGACCCAGCTCCTTCTCATCTAACACGCTTTATTTCATCTTGATACTTACTCACTGCTGAGAGAACTAAAGAGGGAAAGTGTGGCTTTTCAGTTTCAGCCACTTACCTAAACATAAAGCAATAAAGGCTGGTTGAGAGCCTTTCACTGGATTGGTCTCATCTGCAAAGGAGCCATGCCCTGGCACAGTTTAACTACTTTTCCAATCCTTGAGTTTCAAAATTGTATCATCTTTCTTCTTGCTGAGTTTCTTCATGGCTCATATCCTGACTTTCCATTTTTGGAGATGAGTCCTTTCGTTGGTCCATCCTACAAAATGGCCCAAGGCTTCAAACAGACATTATTATCACTTCTACACCATTGGGGAGATTTGAGAGCACTGTTTTTTCTTTTCATAATGACTCTTAGAAACTGTCTCCCTAAGACAGCAAACCTCCTAAGTAGCCAAATATTTCAATATGACTTAAGAAATTTGCATAAACCTCTTCTTTCTCAAATACTTTACCTGCCGGTTGGAATATTATCCTTGGTTGGCTTAATTTAAAGTTTCCATTTGCACAGTAAAAATAGAACTAATTCTGGGAACAATACCTAATTTTGTCCACCCTAGAATTTAACTAACACTACTTCTGTGGCCATGTTAGGCAGTACATTAGTGCAAAGGGTGCCTGCTATAATCTCCACTGTAAAGATGAAGAAACTAAGACTTGATGAGATTAATTGGCCAAGGTCACTGGGAGGGTTTGAATGACAAGCGTCCCACATAGCCTCCGGTATTTGAACACATGGTTCCCAGTTGGTGATGCTGTTTTGAGAAGTTTGGGGACTTGCTAGAAGAAGTACACACTTCACATTCATGGTTGAGGGATGTGATCACTCTGCTTCCTGCTCCAGCCACCATGCCTGCCTGCTTCCCTGCCTCTCTGCTATCGTGGGTTCTCATCTTTCTGGAACCCTGAGCCCAAATATGCTCTTCTACCTATAGGTTGTTTTTGTTCATGGTGCTTTATCATAGCAATAGAGAATGAACTAACGGAGTCACCTAGAAATGGAGTGGGCAAACCTGACTCCAGCTTAGGCCCATCTCCCTCAGAGGAACCTGTAAAGGAAATGATAATATATGTTTTCTGCCTCGGAGAGCACATTTTAACAGGGAAGGAAGGTGGAAAGTGTGAGAGACAGTCCTCCAGTTAAACTGGAATCCCTTGAAGGACCCGAGGGGACTGAGAGATGAGGAAAAACAAGGGCAGAGGTGAGCGGTTACACTAGAAAGTGCTAGTTTCGTCATTTTGCTGACCGGAGACATGGGAAACATTGGCTTAGCTAATGCTTTTGAAAGGTTCCAGCAATTAGGGTGTTAATACTCTGTGGAGTCACAATTATGTTGTAACTACCAATCAGGAGACAACTCATCATTTTGCTGTAATGTAATTACATTAAATAGCCCCAGTCATGTCAGTGCAGAGACTGGGGCAGCCGCTAATTACCCACTGCACCCAGGCACCTCAGCTCGGATCAGGGAGAATTGGTGGAATCCTGGTTAGCGTTTCAGGGCCGGCCCCGTTTTCCTCAGCACAGCTTCAGCAGCTCTCGGATCCTCTGCTGTGTGCGGTTCAGCTGTGTTTGTCATCTGGAAGCAGATAAGGTATTAATAATATCCCTGATCTTGCTCCTTAAAGAAAGCTCGAGAGGAAAATATCTCCGACAGGTGGAGGAGAGCCCTGGGAGGATCGGGGCTGTGTTGATTCATCTCTCCTCCCACTGTTGCACACGGACAGAGTGAGAATAATTAACACATATGGAATGTCTCCCATATGTCAGGGACTGGGATAGGTACTTTACAGGTGTTTAAATTGATTTTCAAGAACATTGCTCTAAAGTGATACAATCCCATTTACCAGACGAGAAGCTAAGGATCAGACAGATGAGCCATTGGCCTCAAGGCATAGAGCTGGACAGTAGTAGAGATGCACATTATACTTTACAGTTCCAAACTCCTCTTTTCCACTCTCTCTCCCTGCCTTCCAGTACTAACCTAAGAAAGGGTGATAGAGATGGATACCCATATTCGTACAAGAGGATGGCCCTTTACTTTCTTGTTTATTTCACCAACTTCTTTAGAACTAAATTTCTATAAATCCATCTACTTTCCTACTAGAGAATCTAAATCCCATTTCCAGATCCTTTCAGCATTTGGGAAGAGAGAGAGAAAGAGACAGAGAGAGAGAGAGAGAGAGTTTTTAAAGTCAGTCAGTTTTGAAGTGTATCTGAGTTTAAGATTTGTGTGTGTGTATGTGCATTTTGCACACGTGTGTGTGTGTGTGTGTATGTGCATTTTGCACACGTGTGTGTGTGTGTGTGTGTGTGTGTGTGTGTGTGTGTATGTATGTATGTATAATGACCTCATAGGAGGTTGTTAGATCCCCTAGGGCTGGAGTTACAGGCAGTTGTGAATTACCCAATGTGAGTGCCCGGAACCCAGCTTGGATCCTCTGCAAGAGCAGCACATGCTCTTAGAACTCCCGGGCCACCTCTCCTGTCCCTACAGAGTGTATTTGAGTGATATCAACTGAGGAACTGTGAGGTGAAGACACCCAAAGTTATGATAAAGCTGAAAATGCTCTTTTCTTTGCTGTCTGAGTTTGGCAATAATCTGATTTACAAACGAAGGGAGAGCAGCAGATGGTTGATTTATATTCACGTGCAAAATGCTTTCCCCAAGTGATTTGGAGACCCTGACAGGTTTTTAAGGTTATAATAGCTATGATTATTTCCTTGTATTTTATTGACATGCAGTGTTTTGCTCTTTCCTGATTGATATCCTTGTATCCTAAATGCATCTCATTTACGTGATGGGGGAACTAGACTGGAGTAGATGATGAACAAAACAGAGTCATGTCTGAAGACGTCAGTTACAGACCTCTGCCGTGAAGCCCTGGCTAGTGAAATTTAGTTCATGCTTGGTGGGAACAGACGCCATTACTGTGGCCGCCTGCACCAGATGCTCACCAGCTGTGGGATTTGTGGCTCCTGGAGGACTGATTGGTCCTACCTTTCCAAACGAGTTTTCACTGTTCATATTAAGTCCCCTCTGGGAGGGTGTGTGTGTGTGTGTGTGTGTGTGTGTGTGTGTGTGTGTGTGTACCTATGTGTGTACATGTAAAAGTGGAGGTCAGAGGGCAACTTTAGACATCATTCCTCCAGAGCCATTCATCTTTTTTTTTGTTGTTGTTCTTTTTTATCTTTATTAAGAAAACTTGTATTCATTTTACTTACCAATCACAGATCCCCCTCTTTTCCCTCCCCCCACTCCCCCCAGGCTTCCCCTCCCCAGCTCACCCCCATTCCCTCCTCCGAAAAGGTAAGGCCTCCCATGGGGAGTTAGCAAAGCCTGGTACATTCAGTTGAGGAAGGTCCAAGCCCCTCCCACTGCATCAAGGCTGTGCAAGGCATCTGACCATAGGCAGTGGGCTCCAAAAAGCCCAGTCATGCACCAGGGATGGATCCTGATCCTACTGCCGGGGGCTCCTTAAGCAGATCAAGCCACAAACTGTCTTGCTTATGCAGAGGGCCTAGTCCAGTCCCATAGAGGCTCCACAGTTGTTGGTCTAAAGTTCATGAGTTCCCATTAGCTTGGTTCGTTTCCCCATCACGATCTTGATGTCCCTTGCTCATAGAATCTGTCTTCCCTGTCTTTGACTAGACTCCTGGAGCTTGGCCTGGTACTTGGCTGTGAATCTCTGCATCTGCTTCCATCAGTTACTAGATGAAGGCTCTGTGATGACAGTTAGGGTATTCACCAATCTGATTGCTGGGATAAGCCAGCTTAGGTACCTTCTCCACTGTTGCTAGTTTAAGCTGGGGTCATCCTTGTGGATTCCTGGGAACTTCCCTCGCACCAGGTTTCTACCTATCCCCATGATATCTCCCTTTATCATGGTATCTCTTTCATTGCTTTCCCACTCCATGCCTGTCCCAGTTCAACCATCCAGTTCCCTTATGTTCTCATCCCCCACCCCCTACCCTCTATTGCCCCCATCTCACCCCCAGAGAAGCTATCTAACAAGGAGGACCTTAAGAGGGACACATGGGTCTCCTGGGGATGGGGAAATAGATTAGATCATCTTGTTTTTGAGACAGCTCTCTCATTAGCCTGGGGACTTGCTGATCCTGCTAGGCTGGCTGGCCATCAAGCCCCCAGGATCTGCTTCTCTTCAGCTCCCCGGTGCTGAGATTACAGGGGTGGCACTCTTGGCTCTTTTACATGGGGTCTAGGTCCCTCATGCTCGCGCAGCAAGCACTTTACAACTGAGCCATCTCCCCCAGCCTTGTTCTGAGACGCTTTTATTGATCTCTGTGGAGTTGGCAAAGTCTGACTCTGTTTGGCTCTGGCAATAGTAAGTTAACTTGCACCCAGGCTTCTTAAATCTTATCCAGAAGGGAGAGGCATGACTTGGAAAAACCCTCAAGCTATTTCAAGGAGTGGGAAAATCAGGACAGGGAGGTGGCCAGTTTTCTCTGGGGAGAAGTGGAGGGTGAGACATTTCAGGAAACCCCAACATATAAAATCAACACCAGTGGGAACATCCTCTGCAAGGCTATAGACCCTGGGAGAACTGATAAAAACAAAACAAAACAAAACAAACAAACAAACAAAAAACCAATGTGAGGATGTCAAATGGCTCAGTGGATAAGAGTGCTTGCTGCCCAGCCTGACAACCTGAGTTCAAGCCATGGCCCAGCAAGTTTAATTCCCTTTTTTGACAGTGAAGAAATAGGCGAGACAGAGAAGAAACTCAGCCTTCTCAGGATTACACATTCCATTATGGTTCAGGCACATACAGAATTCTGGGCTGGGTCTGGTGGGCCAGGCCTATGATACCAGCTACTTAGGAGGCAGAGGCAGAAGGATGAAAAGTTCAAGACTAGGGGCTCAGTGACCTTGCAGGGGACCCAGGTTCAGTTTGCAAGACCCAGCTGTGGCTCACAACTGCCTATAACTCCAGTTCTAGGGGTTTCAGTGCCCTCTCTGGCCTCTGTAGACACCAGGCACACATGTGGTGCACATACATACAGGCAAAAGCATGATTGCTGCTCCAGGGCTCACTGTGGTTTCACAGTGAAATGTTTTCCAATAGCCTCACGTATGTGAATCCTTTGTCCCCAGCTGGCGGCACAGTTTTAGAAAGGTTATTGATTCTTTAGGAGATGGGACCTTATTGAAGGAAGTGTATCACTGGGGTTCTGACTTGAGATGGCATAGCCTGGCCCCACTTCCTGTCCATTTCAGGCTTTTTGTTCTGCCAAGATGTGACCTGAGGAGTCCTAGACAGACACTCCTGTGGACATGGCTTTGCTGCCATGATGCCAACGGGGTGAATATATTATTGACTTATTTTGCTAAATGGACATACTATCAAACCATCCTCTAAATCTGTATATCTATGCCCATAGATGATTAAGGAAGGTCTCAGACCTCATCAGAGAAGGGTCTTTGGGCGGTGGACAATGGTTAACCCAGAAACTTACAACTGACCAAAATGCAGAGAATGATTGTCAGTTGAGTGCTCAGTCACAAGTGGGATTTTATATCCTTGCTGCCCCAAGGCTCAGGAACCATGATTGTCAGTGGAGTGCTCAGTCACTAATGGGAATTTATATCCTTGCTGCCCCAAGGCTCAGGGACCATCTTGGGAGAAGGGGTAGAAAGACTGTAGAAGCCAGAGGTCAGGGAGGGCTGATCATAACTGGAGCACTGCACTTTGTAAGCTCACAGCACAGCTCGAGATCGCAAGATCAAGCCAGTCACCATTCTAGCTTTGGAACAGGAACAAAAGCATGTAATAGAATTGATGTCAGCACCAGGGAAGACAGGAGCCAGCTCTGAGGAAAGGGAAAAGTAGGGTCCGAGTTCATGGGGATATTAGGGGCTGGGGGAAAGGTGGCTTAGACGAAACAGGAAGCCAGGTCTGAATTTTGCTTTTTCAATAAGAAAGAGAAATGGGAGAGGCAGAGCTAGAGTCACATAGACACATAAAAGCAACAGAAAGGGAAGAAAGAGGGATGGAAGATACAGAGACTAAGAAAGAGAAAGAGAGGTAGATACAGAGTGAGAGAGATGAAGAGGGAAAGAGAGGGGTAGGGACGATGGGAGAAAGAGAGATACAGAGAGAAGAGGAGGGGGGAGAGGAAAGAAGAGGAGAGAGCAGAGAAGGAAGAGGAAGAGGAGGAGGAAGAGGGGGAGGAGGAAGAAGAGGGAGGAAGAGAAGGAGGATGAGGAGGAAGAGAAAAACTACCAATAGCGGGACAAAGAGACACAGAGAGTCAGTGACCACCTCAGCAACTCCGATGAGAGAAAGCTGTGACGGAGCCAGGAGCAAAGCCTGTTAAGAAACTGTGGAAACTGTGATGGTTTGAAAAAAAAATGGCCCCCATAGGGAGTAGCACTATTAGGAGGTGTGGTCTTATAGGAGTAGGTGTGGCCTTGTTGGAGAAAATGTGTCACTGCTGGGGTGGGCTTTGTGATCTCCTATGCTCAAGCTTTGCTTAGTGTGGGACACAGTTGCTTCTGCTGCGTGTGGATCAAACACGTAGAACTCCCAGCTCCTTCTCCAGCACCATGTCTTCTTGATTGCCACCTGCCGT